CTTGAGGGCAGGCTGAGCATTGTGAGACACTGGAAGAGGTTGCCCAGGGAAGCTGTGGCTGCCCCCTCCCTGGCAGTGTTCAAGGCCAGATTGGACAGGGTTTTGAGCAACCTGATCTAGTGGAAGGTGTCACTTCCCATGGCAGGGGGGATGGAACTAGATGATCCTTCAAGGCCACTTCCAACCCAAGCCAGTCTATGAGTCTATGATTCTTTGGCCAGCATCAGGAAGAGAAAGCTCGGGGTGAACCTGACTGGTGACTACAGCTGCCTACTGGGAGGGTGCAGAGAAGGTGAATCCTGACCCCTCAGAGGTGCTCTGTGTCAGAAGGAGGAGAAGCACCAGTCCCCCTCTGGCAGATAGAGAAATCCCAGTTAGATAAAAGGAAAAGATTGTCACCAGAAGGGTGCTCAGACATGGAACAGATGTCCAGGGAGGCTGCAGAGTCTCTGTCCTTGGGGGTATCCAAACATGACTGAGCAAGGCCCTGAGCAATCTGTCCTGACTGGGGCTGCTCGGAGCAGGAGCTTGGACCAGAAACCTCCAAGGGTCTCTTGCAACCTCTGTGCTTGTGTGGTTCTTTGAACTTCCTGCCTTACCTAAATTGGAGCCACCCAGAACCTTGTGGAAGGTGGCCTCTGGGAGAAGACACCAGGAGCTGTCCCCATGTTGGGCAGAGTCAGTACCAGCCAGCTCCAGGACAGACCTGCCACCCACCAAAGCTAAGCCCATCAGCAATTCTGGTGGCCCTCTGATAGCAATGAGAGGGAGTAGTTGCATCTACTTAGAAATTCACCTACTTAGAAATTCATAACTACTCCCAAGCTGGAGGCCTGAAAATAAAAACAGACATTGTTGAGGTTTTTCCCAGGACATCTGACTCCCTCTTCTTATTTTTCTTCTCTAAAAAAATGTAGTGGAGTATTTGCTTTGGGCAACAGATGCTGATATGGCTTGTTTTATACTGAGGTGCCAGCTGTTCCTTATGTTCCAAAAACAATGCCAAACCTGCTGTTATGAGACTTATTAGAGTGCCTTTTATCCAGTGGTAAGTTGTTCCAAGTGGGTAATTATTCCCACTGAAGTTTTTCCTCTTCTTAATAGACACTTGTTTTTATGCCAGAGGTCACTGCTGTTATCATTACCTGTAGTGACTGGATATTTGGAGGAATAAGCCATATGGCATTCTATAAAGCAGAACCATGAGTGAAGTAGAAACAGAGCATTAAGCAAAAAGGGAAGTATTTCCATAACTAGCTACATTTTCTCCTGCATTAGTTCTACAAAGGTGGGGATTGTGGCGCAAACACTGCTCTTAGAGAAAAACACTTTGGCTTGGAGGAAGTGAAAGCTCTTTCCCATCTACACTGGTGCCCTCCCACCACAGTAATAAGACAGAACTTGTGTCCTTGCATCAGTTCCCTCCTCTCCGCCTACATCTTCATGAACAACCAGCTCAGAGAAAGTGCAATTGATCCTGTCTCTCATTTCTAACCTGCCCCCACCCCCATCTCATTTATAACTAACAGCTTCTATGGTGAGTTCAGTTATCTAACAGCAAGAGCTTGGGGCCCCTACACAGTAGCTATACGTGTATTATCAACAGCAACTACCAAATACCTGGAGGCCATCCCTCCGATACTCTGTGAATGTCTATTCACAGTCTGGTCATTCCATGAATAGATATCCCAAGAGCCAGGTCCTTATTTAGATTTATGTGAAAATCTCCCAAAACTAAAGTTCCTAATTGTGTCTCCTTTAGGGGAGTTTAAAACATTCATATATGTGCAGCTGTGTTAGGAAAGACAGCTTCTGCAGCATTTTTGGTTTTGGTTCTCTAACTTATTCTTACCAGACAAGTCATGGTATTTCAGGAGTTTCCCAAGTGACTTGCTTTTCCTATTTTCGCAGCGATCAAGTTTGTTTTCAAATGGAGAGAATGTATTTTTTCCAGGAATAAAACCATGGAAATATCAGCGTAGTGGACACTAATCATTCACAAGTCAATATTGCTGGTACACATTTTTCTATAACACCTAGGCATAAATATAGGGTAAAAATGCAGATACATCTGTTTATTTTAATAAAGCACAGACCAGCAAACATCTGATCCTGATCTGCACAGCTTTCTATTGGAAATGACTTGAACTACTGCTGTGACAAAGACAGAAAATAGATACCAAGCCCTGGAATTAGTAAAGTATAATACTAGCTCTAATCATTGGAGTTTGTCCTGCTTAACCCCAGGCTGCATTTAAGCCAATTTCATTAAATGACTTCTTTCCTAATGTTACGACATGCAATGCTGTCACTGAAAAGAATCAACTAGCTTAAAGATACAGTTCAAGGCTATTTATCTGAGACTTCGTGATTAATAAAATATTCTCCGTATTTTCGGCAGTATAGCATCTCCTTGCTTCAAGCATGAATATCTGAGGAAGAATTGCTATATCATTTTATCATTAGGATGATCACTAGCAGTATCAATACTGTTTTCAAGTTAGCATACATTATTCATACAGACTGTACTTCTGTAAGAAGCTGACTACTACATTCAGCACTTAGCTTATTGTACATTTGCAAGAAAATGTATCAAAACAGAATACCAGCCAAGTTCTGAAAAGAGGTAAACCCCATTATTGTCATGTAATTCATCATCACTTTTCAACTTCACTTCCTTTCCATTGTTAATGTAATGGGGAAGTAATTTATGATACAATCTCATTTTTCCTCCTCAAGCACTAAGGTTTTTGTCTGCTGCAAAATAGAAAAGCTGGACAGGAATACATGGTTTACTGAGTGACGCATCTACAACACAAGGAAAGTAATTTTTTTTGACAGTTAAAATTATATTGCTTCAAATCTGTGGACATTCTCAGCTTGTTGGAGCAAGCGGCAATAGATCTTTGCTTAAATACACACCTAAAGTGAATGCTATTAATGAGGACAATTGGCTCTGGATGAGATGACCAAGACATGAAGCTCTTTCTGAGTAGCAACCACAAGTCAATTATCAGTTATGAAGCATTGATGCAAGTTTGTTTGTTGGTAGATTGTTTAACAAATGAGTCAATAGCTCATGCATTTGAATTAGGTTTTCATTGTCATAATAAGTCATAGCTTCAAATTCAGTACACTGCAGCATCGTAACCTGTAAACATGCAGTCATGGCAAAGTGCAAGCAAATATTGCAACTGAGAAGAGAAACTTTCACTGAACATTCAGGATGACCACTATTATCTTTTCAAACTCTAGTAGAAAGAATCTACACTGAAGGAAGAAGAAAAGATTTGGGTAAAGGATGAGCCATGAAACCTTTTCTACTTCCTCCAAGTGAATGGTACTGTTGTCTGGGACAATGCCAAAATGCAAGTCAACCCACCTTGAAGCCTAAACAGGAATTCCTGCATTTAAATCTTGTCCTAGTACTACCTGGCTGTCACAAGAAGTGGTGCTGCTAAAATATTATCAGCTGTGTATTGTGCACATCCTTATTAACTTAGTTAATGGCCGTATTTCATCCAATTTCTGTCAAATAAGAGGTTACAAAATAGAACCCTGTTGCCTCTAGCTATAAAGAGCTTCTAAATGAAGGCCCTTGCCTTTGTTATGAGAGGTCTTTCAAATGAGTTTCTGTTGTCCTCTGTACTGAACGTGGGTTAAGAGGAGCTTTGTTATCACAGAGCTTCTGATTCTGAACACATACAAAGTTTAGAAAAGGACTCTACATCTGTAAGTAGATTAAAACCAAAAGGAAAATAGAGAATAATACATGCTCAGCACCTGATAGTGAGACCTTTTAATCTCAGTATATGTGTTTCTGTAGCTTGTGTATCACAGTACACCATGAAAGCTCCCCAAGTAACCTGGAAAATCATGAGTTGCAGCATATTTGAGAAAGTGTGAGCAAGTTTTCAGAGATAATTTCTGGAGAAAATTCTTTCATTTCGGAAAAAAAAAATTAAATAGCTGGTCTACATTACCGTCAGAATGGGCTGCTTGTAAAGGCCAGCATTTAGACTAAAAAACCCTTCATCTTTTCCTTAATCTGTTATGTACAACAAAATGCTGTTTAAAAAACCAAACCAAACCAAAACCAAAAAAACCCAATAAACCCCCCCTGTTTACTTCTTTCTCTTTTTTTTTTTTTTTTTTTTTTTGCCTTTCTTTTGCTTGGAAATGATATAAAATATGCTAGAAGGCCTGCTTGTTTCATCTGAATAGAAAGGAGGGGGAAAAAAATCTAATTGGGTAAAAAATAAAGGAGAGGATAGTTCAAAGAAACCATCTTAGTTTTTGTTCTCAAGTACTCCATGGGCTTGAATTTCAGGTAGCTGTTACCTAATGTTAGCTAGAAAATGCTACAACATAAAACCAGTAGTGCTATTTAACTGCATGACCTCTTCTGTGGGAGATGTTCCCCTTACCTGCTTTTGTTTATCACAACCCTAAAAACTCTCAAATTACGTGCATCACACAGTGGTTTTTGTATAATCTCTATTGCTGTTTTGTAATTGCCTTTGCTCTTTCTAGTGAAAAATGGCCATGTATATTCAGTGTGAGTTCACTTACTAATTTGCTTCTTCACTCTTTCCACTTTTAGCACTTCTAGTTGCTCTTGACATTTCTTTTCTTAATTATTCTGAACTACCTGACCAATTTAAAAATGTAACTACCTGACCAATTTAAAAAAAAAAAAAAAGTTTCTAATGCTTTGTATTCTTTTATTGTCTATGTTGTAAAATCACAGGGATTTAAAAAAAAAAAAAAAAAAAAAAACAGTTTATATAAACACTTGATATTTTTAGAGCCCAGGGTCAAGCAGATCAGCTTTTAATTAGAAACAGATTAAACTTTGATCGCTCCTGCAGAGCTCTCCAGCACTGAAGGTAATCCTTACAAGCTTTGGAGTGAGCATCGTTGGGATAGCTTGCCAGTGACTTTGCATTTAAAATTGAAGGTCAGAAAGTCAAAGCAGCACATGAAAGCTGGTAAGACTTAGTCCTACCAGGGCATGGCCACAAATCATGTGCTGTTGGGGAACATGAAAGAAGATCAGTCCAAACCAGAAATCAAATGTGAAAGTGCTTCTAAACTCTCGAGATCTGTTCATTGATTTATGGTAATGTATTAATATGTCTATTTCAGCAAAATTTATATATTTCAGCAAAATTTATATAGAACAGATAGTATTGTATCTCATATCTGAGGAATGGAGATATAATTATCTTTGTTTCTGTAGGTTTTGGTCACGTAAACTAATGGTAGCTTCAAAATGCAATGGAAAGGATCATGAGATTTGAGTAACTCTGTATATGTGTTTGTCATCTGTCTTGATAATCTTTGAGGTGTTTATGGTGTTTATACAATGATCAGCTGGTTTAAATTGCTACATCTATATGCATCTTTGCACTTTAGCTTTGTTTCAAAAGCTTACAGCTGCCAAAAAATAGGCAACTTAGAAAAAGCCGCCTAAAGACAGAAAGATGTATATTTATTTGCAAGAGAAGCATCAAGATTTAGTTAAAAATATTCTCAAAGCTACCATTTAAATAACATGATTAAAACTTGAAACTGCAATGGCAAAGGTACCCCTGCAAGAAATTTAAAGTGGTAAGATAGAACATGAAGCTTTCTCACTATGGTTAACAGCAAAAATAAAGTAACAAAACTTTTGAGAAAGCAGGTTATGAAAGCACAGTCCTTGTGCTTGATTCACTTAATTATGCTTTATTTAACTGTCTCTGAAAAGTCTCTAAATGTTTAAATATTCTCTGTGCTCATGTGAGTGCATCACATTGCTTAGTGTGAAATCTCACTGAAGTTTTCTTCAAAGCAGTGCAGCCTAGTGAACAAGTCAGCAGGCCTAAATTCTGTACACAGCTTTGGGGCAAGTCAGTTGAAAAACATTTTTCTTATTTTACTTAAACTTTTTTGGGGATACCTTGCACTATACCATAGGAATATGGAATGTAATGGGATTATTTTATTCCTTGCTGGTAAATGATCTAGTGACCTATTTGGCTCTGAGAGGCATAATGATTGGATATCATAAATGGGCAGAGGCAATGATGACTGCCCTAACCCTCTCAACATCTTCCCCAAGAGAGACAGTCAGAAATATATAGTTAGGAAAGCACTAGCCTTGTGGGAAGTTTTTCACTTACCTATTCAGGCTGAAATGCATTCAGATAGTTGAGATTAAAATAAACTGCTTTTGGAATAAGCTTGGTTTTATTAATTAATTGAAGGTGTGTGCCAATGTATGTGCAGCCCTGCACAGTCCTGTCAAGATGCTGTGAGACTTAGGTAAGGCTACCTGGCAAATTATGTGTGTGTGCGAACTGACAGTGCTAGAAGAACATGCAGAAAACAACATCTGTTTACATCCTATGATGACCTGTTTGGTACTCAACTTTTTTCAATCTAGTATTAATCTTTTATGTTTAATTTTTTCCATGTTAAATTGGAATTAATTTAAGTTTTTTTGATTTTTCAGGGGTTTTTTTTATTGTCAGGGTCTCAGTCTTGGAATACATGAGTTACAAAGACAGTAGAATTTCTTGATACTGAGCTTTCCCGGGGGAAACCCTTTTGTCAGAATTGTGGAAATGAAGACAGTGATTTCTATGAAAACTTCTTCTAGAGGGACAAATAAATATAATTTAAATTTTAAGCATACTGTTAATATTTTCCTAAGCTATTTGAATCAATATAGTAAAACTTTGGAAAACTGAACTGAGACTAAAAATCTCTGATGTCACAGAAGCTGGGTGATCTGATTAGTAAGAACTTTATTTTCAAGGATTTCTTAAACCTAATGTTCCAGGAAAAGAGGAGAAAGTTTAAGCAGAGTGTGTGCACTGAATTCCAGTTTAGTTTTTCAGTAAACTTTATAGAAAGACTCTGGATGGGTAGGTGAATGAGGTGGATTTTTTCACTCTTTTGCAACTGTAAGTTGACACCTGTCCCTGGTCTCTTGTTCAAACTGATGTGCAGGACTGGCGTTTCACTGTCTCTTTCTGCTTCACGTTTATATTTTTGAAAAGTTTTTTCCAGGCTCTAAGGCCTTTTTTGCCACCGTAGCACCACTTGATAAGGCCAAGTGCGGGGGCAGGTGACTGTCACTAGAGGGTGCTGTAGATTTTTAGAATCTTTTTTTCCCCTCCAAAGTAACTGATAGCGCTCCGCGTTGTGGTCTATCTAACGCTACTTGCTGCTGTTGAGGTACTGAACTTTCCGATTAGTTGTTGGATATGTCTGATAACCCTGATAAGAGAAAAATAAAACTTTGGGAAGTGACTAGGAGATATATCTGCCTAGAGTTTGAATGGAGATGCTGGGTGTGGGGGTGCTTTTTATGAACTCTTTTCTTGCTGAGCTTTGCTTAAATATTTGTCTGCCTGTGGCATCTTCTGACTTGTCTTTTTTTAAAGACATGCATGGTTTCATTTTTTTAAGTTCATTTTAAGCCAGTGAAACATAAATGGGTCGATATTTTTAATTTGATAGGTTCATAGTTTCTTCCAACTATCTTTTTCAGTAACTTTTGCACATACCTTACCCAGCTGAGTTTTCTGATATTGTGCAATGAGTGGGCAAAGCAATAGCTCATGCCTTATCACAGCGATCTATACATGTAAATGTTGTTAATTTCTATTAACATCTATTGGCACTTCACAGCAAAAGCTATTGTATCTGAAAGACGTGAGACTGTGACGTATGGTGCTGTGAAACAAATTAAATATGCAGCTAGAAACACAGCTAAAACCTGATATTCTTTTATTCCTTTTCTGTCACCATTTCAAGCAGGTATTTGCTCTTTCAGCAGACATTAGTAGCAGTATGAATATGGCCTGTGCAGCACCATGTTACAAAATACCCAAACCAACTCTGAATGGGTTGGTAGGGCTAAACAGCATAGGAGCTCCTGTTGAGCCACCTATGGGAAATTTAATGTAGTTGCCTACATCTGGGATGAACTTGGCCTCTACTAAGATTTGACACTTGGCTGCAGTGAATTATATATTAGGAAAAAACTGATTGTCATACTGCAAGGATAGAAGTGTTGGCACTCAGGTTGACTCAGCTGCAGTCCTTTTTTCATTTTTAGGCTAACTCCTCAGATCTTAGGGAAGTGTCTCTTTTGGGAATGTTAGGGTTTTGGCACTCAGTTACCTCAGAGTTTTTGTCACCATTTGAGAAATAAGAATATGTTGTTATCACAGGACTCATCAGGAAGTTGGGAAAGGATTTTATTCTTGTATTGAGATTATCCTAAGGGACAGAAGGGACTGGCATGCCAAAGGCTCACTTGAGAGGACACTTCTTCTACCCTCCAGTAAACAAAGATATGAATCTTTGTCCATTCCTTTCAAATATGTAAAGCTTTCCAGGAAAGTTTACTTCAATGTCAGTATAAAGAGTTGTTGTGAGGCCTTGTGACCTAGAAAACTAGCAGTGATGAGCTCACAGATTAAACCTGTTACCGTAGATGTGAGGTTGAATATGTAGCTTTGCTGGCTATCTTGTCCCTAAGCTACTGCACTGCATTACTAGCTGAGAGATCTGGTGACTTTGTGCTGACTGGTGCAGTGGGATTCCCAAAGCTCTGTATTCAGTCAAAGCTTGGGTCTCTCCTTCGCACTGAACCACTCTGGGGTGTGCCATAGCTGTTGGGTGTTAGAGAAAAAATACTAGATTGTTCTTCAACTCTTTCTTTCTGGATATGTTCTTTTCTAAAGACTCAAGTTGGCTGGGAGAGACATGTTTGGGACAATACTGCTTCCAGTATGGTCAGAATAGATATGTTTCCGTTTGGTATATAAATGAAATGGGCATTTATCCAGTGAACTTCATGCAGGATTGCCCCACTGGTCAAGCACAACCATGTCACAACGTATCATCCCACCTCCTCTTGCTCACCAGCAGCTTGTGTCCCTGATCACCAATTACTTCTGCCTGGTCCGTCTGACAGAAATGTTTCGTAAGAGAAAACTGTTCCTCTACTGACAAGTACTTTACAGTTAATTAGTTCTAATACAAAATAAATGGAGATCCTTTTCCCAACCCAGAGGCTAACATTCTATATGTCTGTTGCAGACGCACATGCATGCTGTGAGATGTCTGGCCTCTTCCTTTCAACAATAAGGAATAATAAATGACAGAAGATATTTACATACTTTCTCCCCTTTGACCCCAAGTCTGAAGCTGGTGCTTTACAGCAATTGCTGTATACTGTTTCCATTAGGTCTGTGACACATAAAGCAGTCAGGTAAATGACCTTGAATCAGAGCAGACATCATGGCCCCAAATATTTGTTTCCAACGCTATTTAACACTCACTGTTTGCCCTAAGATAGCAAGTTGGGTTTTCTTATGGTAGTTTTCATTTAGAAGCTGGCCTGCAAGAAGCTACAATTTAAACCTGATCTGATGTAAAGAAGTAAGCTAAACCTTGGAGAGGTTGCAGATAAAGCGAATCCATTTTTGGTGCCAAGAATACCTTTGACAGAATCCACATTTTAAATCCTCCCGCGTCCTCATGGCTTGGAGGGGAAAAAGATGCAGGTTCTTGGTTGACTCGCCTTTTGAAGAACCGCTTCAGAAAACAGTCAACTTGTTTTGCTCTTGCAATTTGAATTCTGAGGAGATATTATCATCTATAAAGGATCTAATGGTTTAGGCTCTGAACACCTGGGCAAAACTTAATCAAGGAGAAAAAGTAGGAGCTGCTTATGGTGTCCAGGGTTTTGGTACTTGCTTTTGAGTGTCCTGTGCCAGGAACTCAGATTTGCTGACGTTCAGGATCTGCCAGCTTGAATGCTTTTTTTCCCCTCAGGAGTGCATGCATGAAGTAGCTAATTAAATTTTCCCTTGGGCTTGGATTTAGGATGGAGGGGTATGTATGAAATGCCTCCACAGTTTGGGATGGTATTCACATTTGGCAACAGAGAAATAAACTGAGGTTAAGGAATGACTGTTGAGGCAAATCTCTGATTTGTACAGCTGAAACTGTTGGCAGCAGGTCTTTGCTTAGGACTAGGATCTTTGACAATTATTGATCTTTATTACGTAAATTTTGCCTCAAACATTTAGAGATCTTGCCAATGAAATTTTATCA